CTGAGCAGGGAGCCCAATGCGGGGCTCGATCCCAGGACCCTGGGATCATGACCTGAGCCGAAGGCAGACGCTTAAGGACTGAGCCACCCAGGCACCCCGGCACATTCTCTTTCATCTGTGGTCTGCATTTAGACACATTTTAAATATCTACTAACCTAATATTTTGTATTCTTAGATTTTTTTATACTTAACAAAGCACAAGCATTTTATATATTTCCATGTGGCTTTTATTATTACTGTTGGCAGTGACTTCCTACAATTCCAGAGACTGATATACTATACTTTTCTAAACCATTCTCCTCACTAATGGATATTTTCTAAATTCTGCTATTCTAGATCTGTGCTATCCAATAGGTAACCCCTGGCCACATGTAATGTGAGCACTTGAAATGTGTCTAGTCTGGGTTGAGATGTAATTTGAGTATCAAATATGCACCAGATTTCTAAGACTTAGGATAAGAAAAAGTAATGTAAATGTTTATATTGATTATTGATGCCAAAATTATATTATTGGATATATTGGGTTAAAGAAAGTAAATTATTAAAATTAATTTCACGTTAAAAATATTTAATATGATTTCTAGAAAATCTTATTTTTCTTTTTTTAGAGAGAGAGAGAGCAAGAGCATGTGCAAGTGGTGTGGGGGTGGGGGTTGGGGGGAGGGGCAGTGGGAGAGCGAGAGGCAGAAAGAATCCCAAGCAGGCCCCACCCCCAGAGTGGTGTCCATCATGGGGCTTGATCTCACATCCCTGAGATCACGATTTGAGCTGAAATCAAGAGTCAGACGCTCAACCAACTGAGCCCCCCAGGCGCCCTGTTTCGTAGAAAATTTTAAATTACATATGTGGCTTGTATTACATTTATATTGGACAGCACTGAGCTGGATTACAATTAGGTGAACAACTGCCTTCCTAGAGATTTCTGCTTCCGTTGAATTATTTCCTCCAATCTACATGTCAGTGGGTGAGCTTATTAAACAGAAGTAGACTTTGTTCTGAGTTGAGCAAGTTATTAAACCTCTAGGGGCCTCAATTTCCTCACCTATGAAATGGAAATAGCACTATCTCCTGAGGTGGCTTTCAGGATTAAATGAAGTTATATATATTAAGTACTTAGTAAATATTAAGAACTGTAAAATTGTTACATGTTATTACGATGATAAAGATTATTTTAAACTGTAATTCTTTGATTACTACTCAGGAAAAATGTTTACCAGGGTAAGTGTTTAGTATTTGTTTTTTTCTATGTAAATTTTTTTCTTTGTGTCCTTAGGTTACTGATCTATTGAGATCTTGGTCTATTTCCTTTAAAATTTGACTACTTCTTCATATATATATATATATCACATGCTTCAATATTTAATCATCTTTGGTACAAATATTTTTTCAGTTTGTTGTCTACCTTTTAATTTCATGTCACTATTTTTTTGTTTGTTTGTTTTGGGGGTTTTTTAAAAAGATTTTATTTATTTATTTGAGAGAGAGAGACAGAGATAGTGACAGACACAGCGAGAGAGAGCATGAGCAGGGAGGAGAGGGAGAAGCAGACTCTGCGCTGAGCAGGGAGCCCGATGCGGGGCTCGACCCCAGGACCCTGAGACCATGATCTGAGCTGAAGGCAGACGCTTAACTGACTGAGCCACCAAGGCGCCCCTCATGCCACTGTTTTAAGTAAGTTTCACATTTAATATAGTCCTTCATTTTTATTATTTTTTTTAATTTTAATTTTTTAAGAGAGATCGTTTTTTAAAGATTTAATTAATTAATTTATTTATTTGAGAGAGAAGGAGCGAGAGCACCAGTACAGAGGGAGAGGGAGAAGAAGACTCCCTGCTGAGCAGAGAGCCCGACACAGGGCATGATCCCAGGACGCTGAGATCATGACGCTTAACCAACGGAGCTGCCCAGGCGCCTAATGCTTAATTTTTAAAACTTTAATTCCTCCTTCACTTCATGACTCGGAAAGTTATCCCTCAGCAAGTGATATATCTTATCTATCTTTATCATCTGTTGGCTCTTTATACATTTTGAGGTTGATTAATTTGTTTAGCTGAGGTTGGATTTTACTAAGGTTTTAGACTTGGACATGGCAGAGGAAGCTCTTCCATTTTGGGAGCGTTCCCAGGATGGTGACTTCATGGGGGGGGGGGGTCCTATGAAGACAGAATTGTTTGCTTCTATATTCAAATGGATCTGTGCTAAGCCCTTGCTGTGTGGAAAAGTGCCTACAGGTAAAACCAGGCAGCACTGGGTTCGAATCCTCACTACTTACCAGCTGTGTGTTTGGAGGCCAATCACTTAACCATCTGGGAGCCTCATTCTGTATTACTGGAGATTAAATGCATATGAAAATGCTTAGCATAGAGCAGCCAAAAATCAAATTCAACTTTTAAATTCTTTATTTTAATGCAATATTCAAGATTATCTCATTTTTTTTAGTGAGTCAGAAAAGGGAGTGGTTCTATATTAAACTTTTCCTTGTTAATCACATTTGGCTAGATGTACCAGAAATTAGCAACCCCATAAAAGATGACTAGGATATGCCTGCTGTCTGTTTAGAAGGACAAAGTGGTGCTTTTCCTTCTGTTCCACTCCTTATATTAGGCTTTTACTTGCAGTAGTTCCTTAAAACAAATGAGGAAGACAGAGAAGTTTACTCTTTCCCCTCCCTCCCTTTCCCTCCCTCCCCTCCTCACCCTTCCCCTCCCTCCCCTCCTCACCCTTTCCCTCCCTCCCCTCCCCTCCTTACCCTCTCCTCACCGCCC